ATCCACAAAACTCGGCAAATATGAGCAAGTTTGAACTTCTGGCTTTCTTACAGTCCATTGGGATAGGAAATATCAGAAATTGTCTTGGACCAATATGAGCACTGAAAATGGTGATATGCTGCTTTAGGTATGACTGCTGATAAAGCAGTCTAAGACAGGCATTCTTGTAACTTCAAGTGTCATATTTTTAAATGGTGTCACAGGGAATCAGTTGAGATCTAAGAGGTGACATTAAATAAGCTGCAGACAGTCATTATTGGTTTCTGATGGTATCAGTTTAGTGTTTGGGTTCTAGACTGCTTGTTGTCACAAACATGGACAGTGTCCAGAAACCAGGGCAAATTAGTAAGATTAGAAAATCTTATGTTTAAAAGTCCAGCGCAGTTCTTAGCTGTTACAGCCTGCTGTCTTTCGGATATGGGAGGTATTTTCTGCCACCAGATGTCAGTATAAACATGATGAAAATTTCTCTTTGTGCTTCTCCACTGTTTGTCCCTAACAATGTATCTAGGATTTTGGAGTTTTTTGCTTGCTTGTTTTTCTCCTGCTGAATAACTGTATTGTTAACACAGCCCTTGTGCAAGTGTGACTTTCTGTTTCAGGGTTTGGTAGCATTAGAGCAGGTATTAATGTCATTACTACCTACTGCTGTGAAAGAAAACAGCTGTTGGTATCCAACATAGCCAGCAAAGGAATCTGTTAAACAGAGAAGACTTCTGTGTGAAAAGGAATCTTGCTTCTTGTGTGCTGTAGTGCATATTTCTTTCATTTTGTCTGTCTTCCAAAAGATGAACTATAAGCATTGAAGGAAAAACATCATTTCTTGTTTGTAAGGCATCTTTCTGAGATAATACTGACTTCATAGAATCATAGAACACCAAGGTTGGAAAAGACCTCCAAGACCATCTACCAGAGTGACTCTGAGTGACAAGAGGGCTTTTCAACTTCCATTATCATTAGAAGGAAATTATGTCTGCTTATGCATGAGTGGAATTCAGCCTACTGTCTCTTGTTATGCAGAATCAGGAGACTTGGTTGTGAACTGTGTGGAATGTAGCACTCCTTCATGATCAGTATTAGAGATGGCAGTGCCTCAAGTTGTACTGCAGTTTCTGTGTCTTGAAATTCAAGAAAAACTGCTAAGGGAATCTTGTGGTACTCAGCAAGTATGTGTAAGATAATAAATAGTGAAAGTGTCTTGTGACATTATTTGATACTTAAAAGATTTTTTTGTTTTACTTAAATACAGGTTTGTAAACGAATGGACTTGGTTTGTCAACGAATGTTAAATCAGGGATTTCTAAAAGTGGAAAGATACCACAACTTGTGTCAAAAGCAAGTTAAAGCTCAGCTTCCAAGGTATGTACCAGCTAAAATTGTTGAACTTCAATGTGCTAGATTCTTTTTAGCATTATACTAAAAGGGAGAGTCTTGCTGGCTAATTTGGTTACATATCTTGAGAATTTGAATCTTTTGTTTTCTGTTTTTCCCCCCGAAAGCATTATAACCTAAGATCTAATTACAAGATAATGGTGTGGATGAATGTACCTTGCATTATACTATACTAGAAGCTGGAATATTGGAAATTGTCTCTGGTGTTCTAAACAGAGTAAAGAAGAGTCTTGTGTTTTTCAGCCTTTCTGGCAAATCCAGAAGGGATGCTTAGAATGAATAAATGCTATTCCTCTTCAAGACAAACCGATGATTTGTCTATGGCTCTGCTTAAAAGGCAAGGTTCTTCAGTGCCAGGGATTAAATTAGGAAAGGGAGGAGACTGTGAGCTCTCATTACTGGGAGCTTAAGGTTCTCTTAAAAGCAGTGTTTTTTCTCCTCTTTCCAGTGTATATGTGCAATTGCTGCTGCCCTATCCTATCAGATTTCCCAGTCAAAGTGAAGAAACTAAATGCTACTTACTGCTGAGATTATTTGCCAAAAGCTTGTACCCCAGCTTGAGCTTTGTAGCAAGCAGTAATGCTGTATTAAATCTGTGTGTTGCATTGAAATATTAAATGCAGGAATATGGGAGGATAAAAATAACCACCCTGACTCACTGTCTGCTGCTAGTTAGTACTGAAAGCCTGCTTTTAGCATCCCAAATGACATACAGAGTTTATGGGTAGCAGAAGATGTAATTACTTAGAGAAAAAAAAAAATTGTCTTCAGAAAGTGTGCAATGCTGTTATGAGCTGATATCTAATCTCTGCTGTGTTTTGTCCGTAGACAGAACAAATGTAGCGGTTATGTTTTCAAACCTCTAAATGGTTTTAAGGATTAAATTGAGTGACAGTTAAAGTTTTATTTTGTGAACTCCTTGTTGAATTACTGCATGTAAATCACTTAATGGTCTGTCTTCTAGACGAGAGTCAGAAAGAAGAAACCATTCGTTAGCTCGTCATGCAGACATCCTTGCTGCTGTAGAAACGAGACTCTCTTTGTTAAATATGACTTTCATGAAGTATGTGGATTCCAATCTCTGTTGCTTCATACCTGGAAAGGTAAAATGTAGTCTAATTTATGTGAATGTGTATGTTTTTAAAAAACATGATTGTGTAACTTCAAGTATTTGTCCCAGCTGCTCCAGATTATGTAATGTATATGCTACTGAAACTGATTGAGATACTTAGAACACACAAGTTAATGCTCCTATGTAACAGGCAGTGTGAAATGAATGAACCAGACTGTATCTAAATACCATTTAAAATTTAATATCTACTTTCCCTCAGGATTTTTACAAGGATTTTTATAACACAGGACATGTAGGGTTTAACTCTGAATTGTAACTGTATAAAATAGCTGGACTCCAGGTTATCAGAAGATACAGCAGAAGACTAAGTTTTTTTTCATATGGGTTTGAATACTTCAAGTTAATTGAAGTGAGATGTATATAGTATGTGGAAGCACCTTTCAGTGTTGCTGTGGACGAGGTGTTTCTGTAAATTAGGTGGGTAAACTTTAAATGTATGTAAACTTTGTTCAGTATTATTACTACTAAACAGTTCTGATATTTCAGACTACTACCCCAGCATAAAGTATAAATTAATCAAGTTATAGGATTGTTTTATAAGCTGTAAAAACAGAGGAATAGAGGGGAATTGACAAGATCATTGTCTGAGGAAGAAACTCAAAAAAAGCTTGGATTGAAACAAAATCTGTGTCCATTAGCTTAACATTCTGCTATTCATGGGCTGAACTGGGTTGCTCTGGGATGAATGCAGAAGTTAGCTGTTGGATTGAGATGAAGCATGGCAGGTGTTTCTGCATTCAGTACAGCAGGATAGGCTATCAGCATGAAACAGTTTTTGTCTTGAAGAGGTAACTTGATTTCCATGCATTTTTATTGCCTTGATACTAAGTTAATCTAAATTACTATAGTTTAATATATTTAGGTTTATTAAGTTTATATTACTTTTATATCTATAATCTAATTTAAAATACAGTGTAATATAACAAAGTCAAATAAATGTAAGGCTGTGATATTCATGTACTGAATAGAATACCTAAAAGAAATGTTGCCTTACTTTTCCTGAGGGGTAGGTTGAAAGGCAGTGCTGAAGCTAGACCTGGGGTGTGTAGGAGTTGTGCAAACAAGTTTGGCAGCCATTTTCCTTCTGGGCACTGGGTCATAAAGACATTATTTGTATTCCTATGTAACAGCTAAAAGAGATCTTTTTAACTGTTTACTTGGTATACGAGCTTGATACCACTGCTGCTCTTTCACCACAGTTATCAGTTCACCAGGAAGTCAGATTTTGGTCAAACCTATTCAAGGTTCAGCATGTGATTTTCCCCCACCCGCCATGTTTGAATGAAGCTGCTGCAGAACTTTCAGGAAATGAATGTGTTAGAACACGTGAATCCTGGTTTGAGGTTCAGCGTATTGTGTTAAGGGTTCTTAACACTTCATAGTGAAGTGCCACTGCAAGATTTTATGTTGAGGATAGCAAAAAAATGCTTTGTGGATGTTGTTACTGACGGGATATAATGTGAATAAAATTAGAGAAAGAAGCCTTTGGGAGCTTCTTTCTCTTGTGAGATGGGATGCTCTGTTGATTCTAGGCTCTTGAGGCCCACATCCTTCAGTAAAGTCTTAAGCCATTCTTAATCATGTGCAAAATTCCTGGCTTGGTAGTTTCTGTAGTAAGAAACCAGCACTCTATCTTGGCCTGCACAAACTGTAATTCATAGATTAGTGAGGCACCTTTCATCTCTGTAGTTCTGCTAAACAAAAGGCTGCTTTTCAAGCCTGTTTAAGAGGGTGCTTATGCTCTCTGCCAGTCCTGGATTGGTATTTCATAAAGTAATACATTTTGGGTGTAATCCAAATTTGCAATATTTTGAGTAGGAGCAAGCGAATTCATGTAAATATTTACAGCTCTTCAGACTGACATAACAGTAATTCTTGTTATTCCATTCCTGTGTTGTGTACATCTCATGACTGGCTGTGGGAATGACTGCTTACTGAACAGTTTTCATCTTGGTTCTCCAAAAAGAAACGATGATGCTTTACTGAGCATGTAGAATGTCAGTATGGATGCAGTAAAACAATTTCACACATGTTAATTCATGAGTTTCAATAGAACTGTGATCCATCAAGTGAATGCTTTTGTCTGGTATATTGCAAACGATACTTCATTTCCAAACACCAATAAAGAACTAACACACAGAGTGATGTGCAGGAGTAGTAGTTCTGTAATGAAAGTCTCTGATGTGCCAACGCTTTTAGAATGATCTGAGATAATCTTGTCTTTATCAGAAAAATCCTAATTCTTCTTAAATGTTTTAGGTAATAGATGAAATTTACCGTGTGCTAAGGTATGTAAACTCTACAAGAGCTCCTCAGAGAGCTCATGAAGTTCTTCAAGAACTAAGGGACATTTCTTCCATGGCTATGGAATATTTTGATGAGAAGATTGTTCCAATACTGAAAAGGAAGCTTCCTGGGTCAGATGTATCAGGACGTCTGATAGGAGCTGCCCCAGGTATTAATTCCAATGTATAGCTAAGTGGGTTTTTTTTTTTTTTTTTAATTATTTTATTTATTAAAACTCAGAGCACTATCTTTTTAAAGCTCCCTCCCTTCAATAAGTGGGCTTCATCACATAGGAATTAACGATACTTGTTTCTTGAGAATGCCAGCCGTGAAATTCATTCGCTTTGTAATTTAAGGAGGCTTTGTATTGGCAAAAGAACGGTCACTTGAATGTATGTTACAATTATGCATAGTGTGTATTCATTAAACAAACGCTTTTGTGCCACCAATGAATGAGACTTTATCGTTGCACTTGGTTGAAATTTGGCACATGAGATGACAACTCAAGACGCCTTTTATATTTAGTAAGGATCAGCAAATGAATTGGCCTAAGCTGCTGTAGTACATAGAGAGCTAGAACACACAAGTTTGTGCTTTCTTTGCATTCCCAAAGCAACAAGGTATATGTTAACAATCAAAATGCTTGTGGGTAACACTGAAAAGGCAGCTAAAATAATAGTCTGTAAATAAACAAACCGGTCCTTTGTAAACCTCTCAGGCTTTCCATAATTGATGTGAACCGAAGTGCTAAGGTAGTTGCCTCATAGAATGGCCAGAAGCAAAAAGTTAGTAGAACTGTAGTGTTTTCCCCGTGCTGAACTTCTTTCCACACACCATTGGAGAATTGGATTGCAGAATATACTCTTTGAAAGGATAACTAAAAAAAAAAAAAAATTACAGCTTAACCAAAAATGATAGGTTGAACTGTAGGAACTGCTTGTGGTTTGCTGCATGTCTCGTCCACCCCTTTAGCCATAAGACTGTATTCCACCTCTTAATTATATCTAGATAATTATACCTCAATTCCAATGAGTCTGTCAGCTAAGAAAGCGTTGCCCAAAACCATAGTTGATGTCAATCTGCTCACCAAACCCAAGGCTTAATGTGATGTGAAAGTACCTATCCTGTGTTGAGGGAATAGCATATGTAATGGTAACCCTTTAGTGTCAAATAAGTGGATCTTAAAGAAAAAAAAGAAGAGGATGACTGTTCAAGGCTGTTCCAGATTGTTCTGTCTTCATTTTACTTGCACTGCATTGCTAGAAGAGTAAAACAGTAGAAAAAGTGATGGATAGCTTTTTATGTTAGAAGAAGTGAAAGAAATTATACAGTAGCTGTTAGTCTCCTTGATTTGCAGGAATTTTAATAAAAACAACATTCCCAAGCTCAAACTCCAGTATGATTTTAGGACTTAGGAAGAATGAGTATACATCATCATGGAAAATAAATCCCCTTCTTCTAAAAAGTAAGTTAAACTGAGATATCTTGTTAAGCCCTGAATAGGAAACAATTAGAATTGTAGCTATCTACAACTATGACAGCAGAATAAGAGTGCCCTACTGAAATATATTTCACATAGATATTGTATAATACGTCTAATTTATAGCTGTACTGCAGGTTTTTGACTTAACATGTGTCACTAACTCTAGCTGACCACATGTTCTCTCTGTAATTGTTGATCTGGCTGAAGGTGGGGGGGGCTTATATATGGAAAATGAAGAATGAGCTGTTTGCCATGTTACTGGAAATCCAAGTATTTAAAATTGAACTAGCTGTGACCTGAAATGCCATGTGCTCTTGTTAGATACTTAAAATAACAGTGAGTCTGTTTCCATGTTCACCCAGCCAGTATTCAGATTTGTGCTTGGGGGTGATGTAGGGGTAAGCAAAGTAGGAGAGGTGGGACACGATTTCTGCTTTTGTCTAAACGGTGTGGAGTACTAACCAGAATTTCCTCTGAAGTTCCAGGGCCTTCTGCAGCACTAACAACAATGCAGCTGTTCTCCAAGCAGAATCCTTCAAGACAGGAAGTCACCAAACTCCAGCAGCAAGTAAAAGCAAACGGTGCAGGTGTGACAGTGCTAAAGCGAGAAATCTCAGAGCTTCGCACCAAAGTGCAAGAGCAACAGAAACAACTCCAAGATCAAGATCAGAAACTGCTAGAGCAAACCCAAATCATAGGTGAACAGAACGCCCGATTGGCTGAGCTCGAACGCAAGCTGCGAGAGGTGATGGAGAGCGCAGTAGGAAGTTCTTCAGGTTCTGGTTCAAATGAACAATCTCCTAGAAAACGGAGGAAGGCGGTTGAATCCACAGACTGTCCTAGGAAATCTAAACGCCTTCGAAACAGAAAATAACTTGGGGAGTCACTGACGCCTTCAGGAAGATACACTGCTTGAGTAGCCCAGGCAGGTCTGCTCCTTTGGATACTGTGATTAGCTTCATGGTGTCACGTAGGCTGCTGGCTCTTCAACACACCACTTAGACTTGAACGTGAATTTTCTTTCATTGAGACTTTTCCCCTGCTTTCTGGATGGGTGGGCCTAAATCACAGGATCTCTAAGATTTGCAATAGATACATACTAACCAGACCTGCTCTGTTACATTTTGAAGGGTTAACCTTTTTTTTTTTTTTTTTTCTCCGTGCAAACGTGTTGAAAGTAAACTTATTTGTGTTTATGCGTATGTTCACATAAAATCTTAAATAAATTCAGTCTTAACTGACTAAAAAGTTGAGCTTAAAAGCAGATGTCCTGTTCACTTGAAGAAAAGAAACGCTTTTAAAATCATGTTTTAGAGAACTTGACTTTTTTGTTACAAGTGACCTTGTCTGGAATGTCTGAAAAGCAGCGCATACTTTTTTGGGATCTCTGTAACAAGTAAAACAGACTTCTTAAGTTACGCTATTGCCTATATATTTTTGTAAACTTATAAGGAAAGGCCTATTATGCAATCATCTCATGCACACGCCCTAGTTCTAGGTCTTGGCAGCCATATTCTACATTTCCATGCATAGATGCATGTAGAGCTTAGCCTGCTAAAAGCACTTGTCTGAAGTTGTCCTTCTCTCTGAGTACAGAGCCCTGTAGAACAATTCCTTCATTCCTCAGCCACAGCTCCACACCTGCATGCAGCACAACTGCTTTCTTACAGCAGGGTGGTCTTGCAGAGCTAGCAGCAGGAGCATTGGGAGCCAGCTATGTGCAGGCTACCTGCTGCTTTCACTGCCTGCAGCTTGCAGGGATTGTTGGCCAAAGCAGGAGAATTGAGAAGCCACCTATGCATCGCTTGATACATAGGCAAACATAAAAATCAGACAAACTGTCTCTCTGGTAACTAAACTCAGGGGGACGCCATTTGAATGAAATGCTGTATTACAGAAAAATTTAAGCTATTTTGTGTGTATGTGTTGGGAGTGGAGTGGAGATTTCTCTGTAATACTGAGGCCAATATTCCAGCCTTCTTTGTCCTGACAGGTAAATCGCTTCAGACAAAGCTTTAATTTCTTTTGCACTTCTGTTTTGAGCTTGTCACTGGGATAGCATGTCTCGCACCGTTCAGTCTCCCTGCTCACTTTAACAACCTCAGGGTTGTATACAGTGATTTTCTTTTCTTATCTGTATATTTTTGGAACCTTATACAAGTACTATTGTCCTTAGTTTTGTTTTAATGTACTAAACTATGTAGCTTTATCATTTGATTTAAGTTTTAGGGTTTTTTTCTTGTTTGTTTGTTTTTTCTGCTTTCGGCTTAGGTGGTGCCCAATTCAACTTGGCGTGGCACTGAAAGTGCAAATGCTGCTTTGTAGCTGTTCAGAACTCTGACACCCTTACCAGAGGTTAAAGTGTGGCTTTCTTGTAGTGCTGACATGGGGGTTGTACGTGAATCATCAACAGAACCAGAAATCATCTGGCCAAATGTTCCAAAATTGTAGGAGAACAGATATTTTTTCTGAAACTTCAAGATTTTGCTTCTGGGACATATGGGTTCATATCAGGACTGACACTGCAAATGCCAAATTTTTGGTAGATGATTTTCAAATATACCTGTTTGACAGTTTTAGGCTTTTCAGAAGGCATGTTTCTGAAGAAGAGCACTGAACAAGTGGTGCAAGGTTACCTGGGGGAGACATTACCCAGTAAAGGCTGATTTGCTGTTACTGGTCTTCCACTGCTCATGTATTTTTTACTCCTGAAGGTTGGTACTATGAATCATTCCACATGCCAGCATGCTAGCTGTATCTTTCAATATAAATTCATTTGATGGTCTTTCAGGTAGACAAAGTAACATAATGATCCAATTACCATATACTTGTGGTTAAATACTTCTGAACAAGCATAAACTTGTTTTTATTGCATTTATTGAGGCTTGTTGGTACATCTCTTAACATCTTTCACTTTAGTGTCTTTGTGTGCTTCTGCGAGATGAAAATGACACTCTTCACAACACACAGGGACATTCGAGATAGTCAGCAGCAGTGCCTTTTTTTAATATGCTGGTGAACCTGTAGAGCTATGTGTAAACTGAGATTCAAAGAACAACAGTGTATTGTTACATGAAACATTATCCGAGTGTGGTGCCAAGTCGGAACCTTCAGCTCAACGAAGCTGCAAGTCAGCAGGTGCATCCTGACCCTCGGCACACTGCCAAGCACACTGCAATTGAACCAAGCCCACTGCACGGGTAGAGAGGAGCAGTAAAACAAGCTCTAAGAAATGCCACTAAGGACTCAAGAAAAGTGCACAGCCTATTTTCCTTTCCACTTCCTGGGAAGGGAGAGTTCAGCACTGGATGGTCCCAAAAGGACTGGAATACACATCAGTGGTACAGAATGTAGAAAACAGAGTGAATTAATAGCTTAGAGAAAATAGCTGGACGTTAACTTCTGACTCTGTGTTGTACCTTATTAAATAAAAAAGGATGCATTTTGCAATACACTAACAAGTTGATACCTAGGCTGAAGTAAAACTAAATTAATTTTGATTTCTGTGCAAGTTTACAAGGCTTAGTGTGCCAACATGGTAAAGTGCAATGATCGTTGCAACTAGTGACCGTATAATCTGTGCAAGGGAGAACCTCAAACCAGTCAGACTTTGGTGTTGTTCATGAAGTAACACGAAAAGTGTTTTATTTGCAGCCAGTTATCAGACTGTAGCTTTATGACTTGTAGCAAGGGCTGGGACTGAGCAACTCAGAGTGGAAGGAAAGCAATAGCACTGGTTTTCCGTGGTTCATTTCTGAAAATGGCTTAACAGCAAAGCTGGCTTTCCTTCTTGAGCTTATTTTATAAAACCAGCAGCTTCCTTTTTGTTTCACAGTTGTTTGGTGGATTATTTTTTCCTACGTTTGTATATGTAATGAACGTGGTGGTCTCAGAAGACTCCAGAAGCTGTACAGTGATACTTTCTGAGGAAGGGGCTGTTAGCAGTCACATCCTGCTCCCCAAATGGAACAACACGGCATTTTCCTGTGAGTATGGAAGTACAGAACACAAGCATCTTCTGAACAAGGCCTGATGAATGTAATTGGTGAAAGCCCTGCAGTAAGGAAGACTTCCTGCTTAACAAAATAGGTTGTTCAGATTCAAGAGCTAGTAAATTCTTAAATTCCTAATACCCTTTTCATAATGCATTAATCACAAGTGACTGTTGTTATGAGGATATCTTCACGTAGTTTCTCCACATAAAAGTTAAGGCTGTTTTGAAACAGAAATCCAGTTGCTTTTGTTGAGCTCTTCTAACAGTTAACTATGGGAAGTTGTCTTATCAGCTGAGGTTGTCGAGGGAATTTTCAGCATCAAGACCCTCCTGTAAATAGGATGGCATAGCATGTAGTTAAATCAGTCTTCAAATAGGACTAACCAATCTCTTGGTATTCCTCCTGGTTTTGAGAACATAACTGGAAAACTGCAGTGTCAGACCATTCTTATGTTAATCAGTAATTTCACTTTGGAGTATTTTATAGTAACTTGTCTACTAATTGTCAACTATTCTAAAGCAATCCAGTTCCATGCCTGTGGCACTCTGCACCGTATTTGGAGCAGCCTGCGTGTCCTCTGCTGTGGTGGAGTCGTGCTCACTGCATCACACCTTCCTGGTTGGGCCAGCTTTGGTTTCTGTGTAACCAAACACTGCAGGATTTTTGTCCTACCCTTGTGCCATCTGATGACATGCTACATGCTGCGTCTCTGTCTTCTAAAAAGAAAATATCAGGTAGGAAACCTGTTAGCTTTCTGAAAACCTAATGAATCTGGATTTGTTCTATGGACTGCTTAAACCAGAAAGACTCAACGATTAAACAGAAAAAAAAATATAATAATAACAACACTTTCCTATGTAATATCTTTCTCAGCTACTTAAGCTTTGTTTGGCTGACATGAGCTGTTTAGTTTATGAATGTTTATGGAATGCTGTATTAATTTTTCCCATTGAAACTTGTGGTTTCACAAACCTTCAGCACAATAACTCTGCCTCTGTGTACCGAGCTCTAGTACTCCTTGAGTGCTCATAGAAACCATCAGAAACCTTTCTTATCAGCAGACCCATTCATTCTTTGGCAGGATCATCCCAACAGATGAGAAGGCCTTTAGTGCCACGATGGATAGCAGTGCTAATATTTGAACTGCAACCCTAAGGGATAATTTTCAGAAATGTTATATACAGGGCTTAGAGTGCTCCTTTTTTTTCACTGCATATTTTAACACAGAGATTAAAAATGCATGTAACCAAAGACATTTACTGTTCTATTTTACAGAGCCTGTGCTTTGTCCATCACTTTACACCGTTTTGAAATGGAGTTTGTATTTCCCCTGTGTTTGGTACAGCTACGGCTCAGACTTTTAGAAGCTCATGTGTACTAACCTTGATTCATTATTATTAATACATTTTAAATGAGTCATCATGAGCCCTGAGATATTCATGTGACATTAATAGATAAGGTCTAGCTTTATTTGTGATAATGTTTCCTGTTCTTTTTATAGCTGCTATGGATTTTGATTATTTTAATTTCAGTGGGTTTGTGGACAACAAAAATTCCAAGCAAACAGTTGTTTTACTTAAAATCATCCTGGTAGGCAAACAGTTCGCAGTATTGTACAAAACAGAGATGCAGGAGCAGATTAAATTGAGTTTGGCTCTTAGAGAGGAATTTGCCAAAATTGTTCCTAAAATAATAGAAAACATGAAGAAATCAGAGACCCTGGTGGGGGCATTTTGAATTGCAGTTAAATACCTTTAGGCACCTTTAGAAATGTGTATTTTGGCCAGATGATGGCAAGTCCTTAAAGCCACACATCCCTTACCTTTGGAATAGAACATGTTTTGTTTAAAGAACTGCTATACTTTCTTATTATGTATTTAATTCTCGTTGTATTATTTTAACATCCTATTTATTTTAACAATATTTTAATGATCCAAAAATATGTTACTGCTTTATTTATATCCTGAGTACAGCTGCTGTAACACACTGTTATTTCCACTCTCGCTGCCTAAGAAAATGAGTCACAGGGAAGTGCATTGTCTGCCCACATGCCTCTGACAGCTTTTGGACACGTCCAAACAGCCGAAAGGGGCACAGAATCACCCAAATCACACTCACAGAATCATAGGGCTTGGAAGGGACCTCTGAAGATCATCATGTCCAACCCTCTGCTACAGCCATTCCTTGCAGTAGGTTGCACAGGGAAGCAGATCTTGAATTTCAACTCCAAGAAGCAGAGTCCACAACCTCTCTGGGAGCTGTTCCAGTGCTCCGTCACCTTCAAAGTAAAGTTTTTGCTTGGTCTGTATGGAACCTCCTGTGTTCCATCTCGTACCCCCTACCCTTAGTCCAACCTTGCTGTCTGAAGACAGCGTTTCTGAAGGGCAGGCGGGCCGGGACCCCAGCAGGAGAGCTGTCCTACAGTGCACTGCCTCGCGTCCGCAGGGCAGGCCGGGGAGGTGGCTGTGGTGGCAGCCGGGTGCGCGGGTCGCGGCAAACTCACTTCCCCACAGGACGGGCGGTGCTTTCTGCCATTTTGAGTTGTGGGATGGGGACAGAAGGACGTTTGGTTTCCGTGACGCTGCGGAACCAGAGGGCTCGCAGTGGTAAAGCGAGAATTACAAGCCAAGGAGTGTCCTTAACTCCTAATTAATCATGCATACAGCATTATTACAAACTAATAATGCGGACAACGCTGTTACCAGTTCGAAACGCCAGTTCCTTCCATGCGTCTTCCTCCGTGCTCCGGCCCAGTGGCTTTACAGAGCCCTTACGACAGCGGGGCTGAGTTCAGACGAGGCCCAGGGAGGGCTACCGCGCTTCCGCTCCGCCGAGCAGCGAAGGGACGGCTCTCTCCTCGCGGCGCGACCGCGACACCACTACCCGAGGGCAGCAGCCCGCCCCACCCTGCTGCGCCGAGGCGCCGGCAGCCAGGCGGCCCCTGAGGGCAGACTGGGAGGCGAGGCCTGACAGCCTGACATCTCGAGACGCCCAATCAGAAGAGAGAACGATACGGGGGGCGGGCACTCTCTCTCAGCCATATAAAAAAGGCCGTGCCGGTGGGCGCCGGCAGTTAGGCGGCTGAAGAGTGGGGGCGTTGGAGTTGTCGCCATGGGTAACACCGTCGCCAGGGAGGACTTCGAGTGGGTGTACACGGACCAGCCTCACGCCGACCGCCGCAAGGAGATCCTGGGTGAGGGGAGGCGGCTGAGGCGCTCCTTGGCGCGGGCTGCGTGGCGAGGGGGCTCCCCGCAAAATGGCTGCCGGCCCCGCCGTCAAGGAGCCTTGGAGGCGGCGGAGCGTCCGGGCCGAGCCGCTGGGGCGGGGGGGCGCGGGGATGGGGCTTTGGGCCGGGCCTGAGGACGTGGGGGTGGCGGCCGCCGCCTTGATCGGGGCGGGGGGGGGGGGGGGGGGGGAAGGAGCGGGAAGGAAGGAAGGAGAAAGAGAGGGCGGACAGCGACGGTGTTGGATAGTGACCGGAAAGCTCGCATCAGGGCTTGTGCGTTGTGTGTGGGTTGTCGGCTCCACGCCATTTCCTTCCCAGATAGGTTGAGGTGACATTAGCTCTTGCCACGTTACTGGCAAGCTGCTGAGCGACGGAAAAATGCAGAAATGGCTGAATTCTGAAAGACCTCTTATAGGTATCATTAGTAGCGTGTTTTTGTTCCCATGGTAGATGAGTGCTAGCTGAGCGGAGGGGAAAGCATATCTGTGTGTTTCTGTGGCTTTATTAGGCTAGAATTCTGTAAGGGAAGGTTTGTGGTGGTGCCCTGATGGTTGGACACGATGATCTTAGAGGTCTCTTCTGACCTCAGTGGTTCTGTGGTATCTGTATTTTGCGTAACTCTCTCCCCTGTAGCCAAACACCCGGAGATCAAAGAGCTGATGAAGCCTGACTACAACCTGATCTGGGTGGTGGTGCTGATGGTCGCGGCGCAGCTGACTGCCTTCTATCTGGTTAGAGACCTGGACTGGAAGTGGGTGGTATTCTGGGCATATGTGTTTGGAAGCTGCATCAGCCACTCCATGACTCTGGCCATTCATGAGATCTCTCACAACAGTGCCTTTGGCAACTGCAGAGCGATGTGGAATCGATGGTTTGGAATATTTGCCAACCTCCCCCTTGGGCTGCCCTACTCAATATCCTTCAAGCGATACCACATGGATCACCATCGATACTTGGGAGGCGATGGAATTGATGTGGATATTCCCACCAACTTTGAAGGCTGGTTTTTCTGCACTCGCTTCAGGAAGTTCATCTGGATTGTTCTTCAGCCATTTTTCTATGCCATTAGACCCCTCTGCATTAATCCCAAACCAATTACTAGACTTGAAATCATCAACTTGCTGGCTCAGCTTTCCTTCGATATTGTGATCTACTATTTGTGGGGAGCCAAATCCCTTTTTTACATGCTTGCTGGCTCATTACTTGGCCTTGGGTTGCACCCGATTTCAGGACACTTCATAGCTGAACATTACATGTTCTTAAAGGGGCACGAGACTTATTCCTATTATGGGCCGCTTAATTTGCTCACTTTTAATGTTGGCTATCACAACGAGCACCATGACTTCCCCAATATTCCTGGCAAGAGCCTTCCACTGGTAAGTTTAGTTCTGAGGCGGTTCTTTTTCTTAAGCTGAGCCCTACTCTGATGTGAGAATTGGGAAGAACACACGCTATTAGAAGAATGGAAGCTAGAAAAACCCCAGAAGTTTGAGTATGGAGAATCTCTTAAGTTCAAGAGTTGAACGAAGGAGAAATGCTGAACAGATTCTAACTTGCTGTTCCACCATTCCTTAAAGGAGGGGAAAGGCCTGTCCTCATGCTATCTTGGCTCTGTGTTTTATCTGACTCCTAGGTTTCTGTAATTACAGCAGGCCACTAGTGTTCTTTTTCAGTTTGGAAGTATGCAGAAATGTAGTTAAGAAGTTAGAGGCACCTCCAAAATTTTGTCAGTTCTGTTTCAGGTATCTTAAGTAAAATAATAATGTGTATTTATCCTTCAATCACCTTTACCAAAGACATTCTCTGGTAAGGAAAAGATAAGACCAGAAATACTGCTACTATGTGTTGTAATTCTACAAACGTCCAATAGCTTTCTGTTCTGGAGTAGTTTCAGTTTTGTCTAGTGAGAACCTCTGAACTCTTTGATAAGTGTCAGCTGTACACTGACAGTTAAGGCTTCAAAGCTAAGACTTAGGCTTGCGGCATCTGCACGAGTGGCAGATGGGACTTTCACTCTGGTGTTCTCCCTCTTTCAGCTCAAGATGCTGGGACTCACTGACTTGCTGTTCATACCTAGCTTTGTGCTGGTGAACCAGATTTTACTTAATGTATATATATATATTTAAGTTCTAAATAGGGAATTAGTTCTTGCTGCTACAGAACTGGTAGACTATGGCTTGAATAAGAAAATAGGATTGTTTTTAAAAGAAGTGTAGTTAATTTTGTTGGACTGGAGTCTGCTATTTGGTGAGCTGAAGATAGCTGAAGTAGTGGGGTACTGCTGAACTGCACCTGCTTTAATGACCTATTTCATAGGTGTGATGATAAATCAGAAGTATCCTCAGCTATGAACCCAGCATGTAAATAACTTGGTTCTATTTGTTGCTTATAGAGATTAATGATAATCCTCTGAGAGTAAATTCTGTGGAATTCAGTGAAAGCTCAGTTTTGTTGTGTTCAGGCTCTTAAGGCTTCAGGATGGTTAATTAGAAATAAATGTCAAGGATATTTGATTGAAACTCCAGTATTTCTAGACCTCTAGCTTAGAAAAGCAGTCTGTTCAGCCTCTACATCTAAGAGTAAAAAAGTAAAGAGAAATAGTGTTCAGAGTGAGGTTTGAAACTCTATCTTAAAATGGCTGTTAACTCTTTCAATTTCGCAACATCCCTTTTTTTTTTTTTTTTTTTTAGTGAGACTTGTATATACATGAGCCAGCTCTGGACTGAGTCACTTCAGCCAGCAAGCCAACAGCTTTTGTGCTTTCTCAGGGCTGGTGAGCTGCATGGTTCTGTAGGCAGCACGGTAAACAGACCTCAGGGGTAGGCTCAGCTTGTTCTGGCTCTCCTCTCCAGTGTACGAGCTTTTCAAACTACTGAGTTGTTTCAAGAAATTGCCACATTATGACACTAATAGCTGTTCTAGAGTCTAACATCTAAACTGGTGCTAGTGGAAATAGTAATGTAAATAGTAAATGAATCTCGTATCTCTCTTTAGGTGAAGAAAATAGCAGCTGAATACTATGACAACCTGCCACAGTATAACTCTTGGATAAAAGTACTTTATGACTTCGTGATGGATGATACAATCAGCCCTTACTCACGCATGAAAAGGCAATTAAAGGGTGAAGTGAAGCAAGATTAAACTTCTGGCAACCGAAAAAACTTTGTCTGCTTGCTTTGAAGTGACTGGTACAAGGTCTCTTGCTAAAGATGTTAACTAGTGTCCTGAGTTAAGATCCACAGCAACACAGCAATGCATTCTTAAGGTTATTTTGTAGGAGGCTACTACCATCTACAGCATTCCTAGCAGTACTCAGATTCATTGGTTAAATGTGTTTGTTTGCCTAAGGATCAGTGTTATACACACAACGCTAAATCTCTTTGTTACAGGATTTACTTTGGCAGGTGTTAAATCTGTATGAAATGTGTTTGGCGCTCATTTTTTACAAGTTCTTAATGTAATGCACTGCCCCTACCATGCAGTTTAGACGATGGTAGTATTAAGATGCTGTACTTATCTGTTAATTCTAAACTAACATGATTCGGTCGACTTAAATCTCCTGTTGAACTTATTTCCTGATTCAGGGGTGGAAAAACGAAATATCTGTTCTTGTTGAAGTAGGTAATGTTGTTTGAAGCATTACTCAAAAGTAAACTACCTGCTCTACAGAGAGTACTCTAAAGCAGCAATGTGTCACTTAGAATGAAATAGCCATGTTCTAGATGGCTTATGTGGTGGCCTTGTTAAAAGGTGGGGAATTTGATGGTATCACTGTTGTTGAGTGTCCTCACCTACTCCTTAAGTGACTCGTGCTAGTATATAGCTTGAACAGCCAGTGCCTGAAGTTGTACCTGCTGTGAGGGAACTTGGCATAATTGAGGTTTCTCTTACTGCAAAAATCTTGCTATGGTTTGGAATTCTTCTTATCTACAAAGGAAAATGAGAAGGTAGAATCTGGTTGGTTCTGCTGTTACCATGGATTTAAATACTGCCTCTAATATTTACACTTGCTTGGAAATTTGGCTGGTATGGACGACCAAATCAGTTGAACCAGATAGTGTTCTGGCAAACAATGCTAGCTACAACAACTGCAACTTGACCTTTTCAGTGTATTAGTTCTTTATGTGTGCAGAAAGCTGTTGCTAAATGTTCTTATTTTTTTTTTTTAAACCTACCCTACATAAACACTGGTCTTACTTACATAATAAAATGTGGTGAGAGCACAGGTGATGCTATTGAATTACTTGAAGCATTTAAAGTGGGAACAAAGAATGGATTTACTGAGCACTGAAGAACCTTTATGTACCTCAACACAGCATATTTCTTTTGTATCATTTAATGCGTTGGTGATAATCTTAAGTTGTGGAAGATGGATACAAATTGCTCCCAAATATCAAACGGTGATTCTATGACGTGTTCTTTTTTTTTAAAAGGTGGAATCTGATAAAGGTAGAAGGCTCAGGCTGCTGTCTATGCTGGTCTGCTATAATTTCATTTTTTTGATGCCTTTCATGCCTGCATTTTTTTTTTTTTTTTTTTTTTTTTAAAAGGAATACCTGAGAAGCATACATCCTTACATCTTAATTCTCACTTGACTGCAGTTCTATTTCTAATAGAGCTTTTGCTTTTTTTCTATAGAAGCCTGGGCCCTTATATGTGATTAAGTAATAGAAGTGGTATGAAGGTGTGCCAACCAACCATTTACAACATGACTTCATTGTGATACTAATGATGTAGTAGTTAGCCAGCATATTGCTCAGGGTACAGTGTAATGTCCAAGTAGACCTTATTCAGTATTTTTACATGTGATTAAAAAGCAAAGATTGAAGTAATTGGGTGAGTTTTTAACTGATCCCTTAACACTGAAGTTCTAGATCAAACTAGTATTCAGATGGTTGCTGCAAGAAGAGCTGTCCTACTGAGTGGTATTGTGGAATGAACTGTTAAGAATTACTGCCTATTCTTTCTACTCTGAAGAAAATTTGGTTTGGAAGATTTGAATGGAGTTAAATTGTAAAACAGTTTATTTTTAAGCCCCTTTTGTATGTCTGCTCAAGTGAGGAATTGAATGGTGGTATCAAGTATCTTCAGTGTTGATGGCTCACCATAGCAAAATGAAGGATGGGAAGTCCCTCCATAAGGTTTTATAGCTACAAGACTGGATAAATCGATTATCTTTAGTTACCTAGGAAAACTGAGATCAGAGATGAACTTCTTTTGTTAGGCTTAGTAGCCTACTCTCAACTCTGATTACAAACACTTTAAGTGCAGGATGGCGGAGAGATCTGAGGAAGTTATCTATGCTTGCCATCATCTTTCTGAAACCTCTAGCTATGATTCGAGGAACGCTTGTACTAGGTTAATCTGAGCCAGTAAGACTTAATGTTTGGATGTGAACTCATTAAGTTTTTGCCAGCATGGGTAACTACCCTTCTAAGGTGTCTAATCTCTGCATTGCATAAGAGTTATCTGCATCTAACTTCAATAGCAGGCGTTGTGCTAGAAGCAGATCATCTCAGAGCTGACCTATATTGCAGCGTAGCTTCATTCTTAAAGAGAAAGTTAAGAGCCCTTCTGAACCACTGTGAAGAAATTAAGATCATTTGGGAGTACTGCATTTGTATTAGATACATTCTTAACTGTTATGATTTTTCAGTCTGACAGTACAACACAAATAAGAAACATTAACAAACTTCTTATTTATATGGACAGTGTAGTTATTGTTTAAGGAATTAAATAGTCTTCATTAATGCTGCTAAAATATATCTGGCAGAAGCAGCTTGGTATTATTCTTGAAAGACATGACATGAAAGTTGGAGGCAGCATCGACTAGCCAGTGAAGATGAAACTCAACCTAAAGAGCACTAAGGACTTTGACAGTTATTTTCAATTCTAGTCAGATGGAATGAGCTTAGATTAATGAGCTGTTTGAGTTTATTCTGTCCTGTGTGACTAAAGCATCTTAATAGGTTGTCAGTTAAACTTTTCCTTTATGTGAAATCAGCCTGGAGTTTAACTGTCAAAACACAGCTGACCAAGGGTCAACTGTTAAATGTCATCCAAGTATTGTCCAAGCTGCAGTTAAATAGTGCAGAGCTCTGAATGCCCCTCAGGGCTTTCTGAGCAACTCTTTCTGAGCAAAGTTTTCAGAGTAAATTGCTGTTCATGGTTCTCCACACTTCCTTCCCCTGCCCCCGATTATTTGAAGTTGCTTAAGTGCAGTAAGTAATGCATCCTGGAATCTGATCCAAGGCAGTTTTCCCACAGGACAGGTGTAGTTTAATTCCTCTTTCAAAATGCCTTTGGCATTCCAGTTTTGCTGTGGAACCTGTCTGTTGCAGGACAGTAGCCAAATTATCCCAGATTAAATGGCTGCACCCTTCTGTCTGTATGACTCCATACTTTCAGATCCAAGCAAGTCTTTTTACTTGGAGCCATATGTCAATCAAAAAGTGGTTATGGTTCCTGGTTCTGTATCTATATTAAAACTTTTCTGCTAAGGCTTTAAATGTAGCTTGCAAGTACATAACACGTGCTTTAAATGAAAATCTATAAATGCTGAGAAATGATCTTTTCTAGGTTAGCAGGCAGTGTTACATAATGAGCTCAGCAGTGTCTCCGCCCCCTTGCCCTTTGTTCTCACACCAGATGAAGTGCAGTGCTGCAGCGGAACTTTCATCCGTTTTCCAATATATAACCAAGTTCTACAATCAGTAAGGTGGCCTCATGCCATTTACTTGCTTGGTCACTGGCACTTCTCCTTCGCTTAAAGTGCAGTGCTATGGATGAATCTGCAGGCTGCCATGCCCATTCTGGTGGATGACGAGTAGAAAAGTTGGTTTCAGATAGTAGGCAAGGGCACTATGTGCTGTTCAAGATACAGCTTTAGGAAAGTGCACTCTTTTGTAACTTGAGTTTTGAGACTTAGGGCAGAACAAATTCTGTTGTACTTAGCACAAAGCCAGGTATTTCTAGCATGCAGATATGCCTTTATAGCAATCTGTAACTGTACATGTGCAATTCTGTCAAATCCTGTATTTCAATCAAGCCTGCAATAATAGATAAGACTTCTTTAGGAGAAAAATGTTCAAAACTTTCCCAATTGATCCTACACCAGCAGATTTTGTGTTGAGACTTCTCTGAACCATCTTCGCTCCCTATGCATGCTTAAGCTACCACATAATATGCCCTGGTAGACTCAATTGTGATTTAGATCCGTGGCTAGCCTCAGGAAAAAGGAGGGAAGAATGGCATGATAAACTTTTTCTTGATCTTGTCCCAACAGAAATAAGATGACTAGAGGGAAAACTTCCTTTAGATACATCTGCTATTAAGCAAGCAGCTGCATATGCAGAACAAAGTCTTCTCTGTGCAGTAAGAACAGGCTTGTTCTTGAAGTGATGTCTATTTTTTTTTTTATGTATGGGCACAAAGAATCTTGCATTTTTTCTTATGAACATTTTTTCAGTGATAAATGTTGTAGCCTAAGCAGAACTCCTCACAAGAAAAAGGAGTGTGGGTATACTTGTGTGAGCAGTCAAACAGAGTGCAGCAGTCAAACAGAGTGCAGCTGAATGCTTTCCTATTCCTTGACAAACAGGTAGCCCAGACATGGTAAGCAGCTTCAACTTCAAATTTTTGGTAATTTCAAATCTTCCTACGCTGAGTTTACTTTTCAAATGTCACACTTTAAGAGGAGTGATCATCGGACACCTTGAACATTACACATATTTCATCAAGACAAGCTATTACTACTACTTACATAGTATTTCTTTCTTGATCTTGCTTCTACCCTGCTTTCTTGTTTCTTGTATATACATAGGAATAATATCATGGCAAGAGAAGAGGAGGAGAGAATTCTTAATGTATATGCCAGGGCTTGAGGATTTGACTCATTTGTAAGCTTGTTAACTATAGCTATACTTAAGTCTGATAGCAGGGTTTTCTGTTATGGATATATGGAGGAAAACATCCATGTGGTTATTTTCAGTTGTGAAAGAGTGGCTTGCTTGCCACACCTTTTTGTAAGAAAGGATGCCAGGTATTTCTGCATTGTGGTGCAACTTCAGTGATACACACTTTTCTTCTAAATTTTATATGTAGCTTATTTCTTGTTTGAAATTGGTGCATGTTACCAGTGAGTTTAAAAAAAAAAACAAACAAACAAAAAAACCCAAAAACTATGATGGCTAGAACTATGATTCTAAAAGCAGAACTGCTTGCAATTTCAGAATTGCTGTTTGATTCAGCACATGCTCTTTAAACACAGATTCCATTGTAAGCTTTCTGTGAAGTTTGCTAGTAGAAACATTTCCTTTTCTGATGCTTGACTGATAGTTGGACTGCCTTTAGGAAGAGTAAGAGTGATTATAGGTAGCTATAGGGATTAATGTTCCTTTTGTTGCCTCTTTAAGGAACTTTGTAGAATGATGACAGCAGTAAAAATCTGAAGGCAAGTAGGTGTCAGAAATCAGTTGCCCCATCAGCAATGCTTCAGTGTTTTAACTTAGATACTTCCCAGCCTGCTGATGCTGAATGTTATAGCCATTTTTCCAAGATGAAATTTTCTTGTTTCAAAACACACAACTTTGTGTTAAGACCCAACTGTGAGAACAAATGAAAGAATCTGATCAAGAACATACTGAAAAATGCCATCGAGCTGGATTTCCAGCAGCGCTTTAAGGTAGCTGGAAGAATGAAATTGAGCAAAATGAGTCTCTTTTACATCGTGTAAAAGAATGAGATCTTTCAAGTGTTTCTGCTGATTAAGGCTGTTTCTCAGTTGTGAATTAATGATCACTTAAAGTAAAAAATGTAGTTTGAGGCTCTTCCTTGGCCTGTTTCTTACAACAGTAATATCGTCTAGAAGATATCAGAATGCTGAATTAAGAAATTCAAGTTGGTAAGAATTTTCAGGGTTTTTAACACTAACAATTCTAACAGTTGTTAACAGTTAATTTGAAGTACTTCTTAAGTAGCTTAATCATAACATCACACCCTTTCTGAGATTTCCAAGATTTCCAGGGTAACTTTTAAGCCATCTCTGGCTAGCTCATTTTCATAAGATGAAAACAGTATGTCAAACTGTGAATAGCTGTGCTGGCACAATCAGTGTATCACTATTTCCAAACAGCATGATTAATAGAGTTACACACTGCACTACATTCCCAGTCTCCTTTCACAACTCTCTTCTCCATGTAATTCTTCCAGAATCCCTGTTCTTGA